TGGCACTGACAGAAGGAATAATTTCTAACCAATGAAAATAGTTCATTGTTGTAGGAAAATTTTTTTTTTTAAAATTCTTAAAATATGGATTTGTCTGGTATTTGGGTTCCAACATTTAAATGTCTTGTGAATTTGCTTTGCTTTACATAAAAAAAAAAAAAATCTTACATTAAAACTTGGAATTTCAGAACTATCCAAACAGTCTTAAGCAATCCCTTCACCCCACAGAAAAAATTAACAATCACTATCAAGAAGTATTTTAAGTTGCAGAAAGTTAAAGTGATGCAAATTTGGCCTTGTGAAAAGACACTGATAAAGAAAGAAAGCGGGGGAGATAAAGTGTAAATCCAAAATGTTTATATTCTATAAACAGTTGGTAATTTACAAAAGAATTGTTTTTTTAAGTCTACTTTCTTAGGAAAACAGTTTCTATGGTGAACTAAAGTTGGTAGAAATTAGATTAATAACCTAGAGATGTCAAAATAACTTCAAGAAAATGAAGTCTAGTTTTACCAACTTTTTTTTTTTTTAAGCATTTCACCCCAACCAAGGCAGGAAGCCACTAGCAGGCAAGGGGTTACAGAGAGTTGGAGTGAGAACAAAGAGGAGTGATAGAGGAAAGGATGAAGGTCAAGGCATCTGGAGACATCAATTGACATTACATTTGAATAGTTGGAGATTATAGCTATCAGGGAAACAAAAAACGGGGAGGGAGTTCCACAGGCGAGAGGTGTGAGACATGAAGCTATTGGAGTAGAAGAGAGCTACATTTAACAGTTTCGAAAGTGAAAGGGTGAGAGCGAGATGCCAGCCTAGTTGAACGCTTAAATTCACAAAGTCTGGGAACCAGTGAAAGCAGCTCATCAGCGTGGTTACCATGAAAGTATTTGTAAAAAAAAATTAAAAAAAATTAAAAAAAAAAAATTTCATTATTTCATCTAATTTTTGATGTTTGTATTTTCAATGCCACTTTGTTTTTCTTGTGTCAGTCAAAAACTGTTTCAGCACTTCCGATTTCTACAAGAGTTGTCAACTGATGTGTGCAACCCATAAGGAAGACATAGCCAGACTTAACTTACCTCTGCCATATTTATTGCAGTCAGACCTCATTTCAGGATCATTCAAGATAAACAGACTTGTTTGAATATCCATCATATCAATCTGTACACTTACCTTAAACCTGGGTTAATAGTGCAGTTCAGAAAAATACAGCACATTAGGATGTTAAAACCAAACAGTTAGCGAAAAATTGGAACAAAGTAAGTGGCCATCCACAAATTTTAAGATAACAGTTTTGTCAAGAAAAGCCTCAACATTATAATCAACATAACATTTCCAATGATCCAGAAATCAATTTGTTCATAATAAAAATCAAGTTTATAAGAAACTGATCCATATTGGAATACAGTTTCTGATATGTATATGCATCTAAGGCTCAGGAAAAAGTGGCAATTGGTAGGGGACAAGCCCAGTGAATAGGAGAGGATTGAGCAGGATATCTACCCTGATTGCATCAGTTATTGTTGAAAGATTATTCAAGTTTAAACAAGATGGGTCTTTTTTTTTCTCTTTAGTGCTGCTAGCCAAAAGGTCTTTTAATACATCAGTATTGAAATCATAGCAATACAATTCTGCTGCTGTAATGGTTTGACAAGGTTGCAACAGGCTGTACCAGATTACTCTATTACAGCAACACTAAAGGATCAGGATGTTAATTTTGGAGTGGATTTTAGTTTTGAGAAACTTGATTGAAGAGCAACTTTGTTGACCCCCACCCAGCCCAAAATGTCACATTTCTGTGACCCCAACCCAACCCAAAATGTCACATTTCTGATTATCATACAGAAATCACTTTTCATCAATGCAAAGAACATTACGCAAAAAAAAAAAAAAAAAAGAAAATGAGGAGGGTCTTTTTAAAAGAAACACACAAACTGCAGCAAATACCAGATAATGCAAACTGCAGATGCATTTTCTTCACCAATTGATACATGAAATCTTCCAACTGCTTTTTTATAGGTTACGCGTTACTCCCACTTTTGCTGCAAACACCAGAGTGTTTATTTCTAGATGAACAAACATTGGCTTTTCCTCAATTCTTCATTGTCCAGTGATGATTCGCAACCACAACTGGACACTCATCTTGGAGAGTCAAATTGGCAGAAATAAATTTTTCAGACAAATGGCACAGAGTCCATTTTGAAGCTGACTCTACTCACTGAGCATTCTTCCTGTGAGTAATTTTAGCAGCACAAGGGCAAAGTTTGAACTCTTGTAGAATAACACAAAAATTATGTTTATTCATCTTTGATTTGAAACCCTATAGAAGAAGGAAAAGAAGTAGTAAAACATTCAAACATCTGAGAGATTTTATTTCGTTCCAACCTAATATGCACTATTTTAACAAAAGTTGTATCTTCATCTTGGTTGTTATAGTCCTGTTTTGAGCTTTGTACCAAAAAAATAAACTGTTCACATTTCATTATACCTGCAAGTAAATATTAGTTAAATCCTCTTTACAATGCTTTTTACTACTTCTTTCACTGCTTGACACAAGGATTGATCTTATGACCAAAAGATAAACTGTACATCTAACCAATGCAGATACCTTCTAGGTCTTGTATGCATAATTTTTAAGCCTTAAACATAATATCTATTCTTTCCTGATCAAAGGACTTCATGTGGGATTCATTTCTGTGCTGTAAGGGTATTTTTCAGCATGCTCATGTCGCTACCGAATGCGACACAAGGTCATGGTTTAAAGTTGTTTTAACAGAAATACCGTGCAAAAATTTCCCAAACCTCCTTGACACTTCCCCTTTGGGGTCACCTCAGGCACCAGGCAATAAACACAGCCCCATCTCGAAGGAGAGGTGCTGCCTGGGAGGAAAGCCCACTGGGGTTTGGGCTTAATATTTTTTATAACTTCCCTACAGCAGAAAGTACACCAGTATGCCTTATTCTCCAGTATGTTCCACAAGAGAGTTGGTAGCGCCATCTTCTCTTTCAATTGGGCTCTGACCTATATTGGCAGTAACAAGAAATGTTTGGAAGATTAGCATTGTCTCCAGTGATGGCAATTATATACATGGAAGAAATTGAGGAATATCCAGAGACTGGCAAAGATACATGGATAATACATTTATAGTCTAAACTCACCAAAAAGAGCAACCAAGACTGAACTACATGAATTGAATAAAATCTTTAATACAGTTTACAAGAGAAACTGATGAAAAACCAGCCGTCCTGGATATACTCAGAACTTTCACAGAACCGACATCCATCTATTGTAAACCAATATTCACCAGTCAATATATAGATTTCAATTCTCACCATCCATACATTGGAAAGTGAAAGTGTGCATTGTTTACATTATCAAGCCAAATTTGTATGGCAAACCAGACACAGGATTTAAATTTTTTTTTGCAGCTTATCAACTCTTTGTGGCTTATTTAAAACCCAAACATTTTGGATTGTAGGTTACTTACAGTACTGGTGTTCCCAAGTAGTTCCACATCTAAGTATTAACCAAGCTCAACACGTTTTAATTTTGATGATTGAACAAGAACTGATACTTTCAGAATGATTTGACTGTAGGCCATACCAACAGGCGATACAGTATGAAATACAAACAGCTTTTGGAGTAATGGCTATCCTGCAGTTTTCACCTGAGTGAATGATAATAGCCAGAAAACGGTCTGAACAGATTTGGGGAAAATCCATGCAACATCAAAAGCAGATGCAGTTGCCATCAGATCAGAACACAGAGATAGCAGTGACAGAAAATATAAAGGTGAGACCAGCCGTCCTCAAAAAGCAAAACTTGAACAGCAAAAAGACAGCGAACAGAATAAAATTAGGTTTGCCTGATTCTGTGTGGAAGGAAAATGAAGAATCAATGGTTGGAAGTCAAAATAATAGAAGAGCATTAAAGACTGAAGGAATCAACAAACAAGACTATGATAAAACTTCATCAGTAAGCCAAGTGTTAGAAATGAACACATGAGAATCTGGTCAGGAAAGAATGGACAGTAGGCTCAAGACTTTAAAATTAAAACTTTTGTAACATTGTCACTATATCATCTGTGGTTGAGTATGTGGCTTGAATGGGTGTCTTGACAACTAATGCTATTGGGTCAAGTCGGTTTTGTTATTATATCAGTTTCCATATCTTTCTTAGAACCAATACTAAAGTTGGCCTATCTTTACCAGTTACTGAAATCAAATTAGATGGGTTTTTTTTATCAGGATAAAGGTTTCTTGTGGTGTTAAATAGCACAATGCATATAGTCTGTAACAACTGCTTTTATCAGCCTTAGTAAGGAAGTTTTGCTTGACTACTTGTCAGTGAAAGAGAGAGACACTAGTGTGAGAGTGACTTCCAATTGCTAGCAGTTTCAGACCCACCTGTTTGCTATGAGGTGAAAATTTTTCAATGGAGAAACTACTTTTACAAGTAATCCTTCACTAATCAATAATTTTTTGAATTCCCAATCAAATGAAAAGGCACTCAAACATGCTAGATCTGCCCTCTTTTTTGCTTTTGGGTGATGGTCAATGCTAATCTCCAAACCAGGTATTACAACATAATACCCAAATGCAATATCAGTCGTTATCTTCTGTCTTAATTCCTGTTCTTTTATTGTTCTCTTTCAATGTTCTTTTTCTTATTCTTTCACACCTTGCACCTTAGTGGCTTTATTCCCTTACATAGAGTAAAATGATTAAAAAAAATAAATTGTGTAAGAGGCTGGTTCAAAATTACGAAACATGACAGGCACTTAAAGGCTGAGAGTATAACGGCCAAGATTATAATGTAACCAAGAAGGTGACACCAGTCTTAATAAATACGTGTGCAATAATGATAATCCCTCATCTCAGAAATAGTTGGATTTTTATAACTTACTGTATTTTGAACATATTGTATGTAGGAGGAAATAAAAAAAAAAATTAGATTAATACAAAATATCTTGTTACAAATGTAAAATAAGGTTTCTTACCTGAATATAACGAATAGCATTCCTCAAAATGCTCAGATTTGAATTTTTTTTATCTTCCAATTGTGGAATTTGGGATCTCAAATATTCAAACATTTCCTTCATGTGAGCTCTCCTGAACACAAAAGAAAAAAAAAAGGGTTTTGTCATTAAATTTTCAGACAAGGCATTCAGTCTATATTTTCTCTCTATAGGAGTCCTTAATCTACTTGCAAATATACAAAAACCAAAAATATCTAAGTTTGCATTAATCAATTCACCCAAAGCATGGTGATAATGCCACTAAGACACAAGGGGCTACTGGAAGTAGAAGAGAAGAAAAAGACTTTAGAAAGAACTGAAAATCAATCCTAAACAGGAAACAAGAAATAAACCTCTATTCCTGTTCAAAAAACTGGGGAGGAGTGTGAACTGGATAATAGACAAACTAATCTAATATTAATTACATAAGACATTTCAATAATGAAGACAGTTAATTACTAAGATTTTAAAGCTTATAATCATGTTGATAAAGTACAATTTTTCTCTAACAACATTTAACTTTGAAAAATCTTCATGCCAAAAAATAAAGAATTTACTTTAACTGGAAAACAAATTTATAAAATGAAGTTTGACAATTTTTTTCTTTTATTTTTCAAAAGAATCCTTATCATTAAAACAACATAGCATTTATTTTCATATTAACAAGACAGAAAATGTTTCACCTTACAAAATTATTTCATTCAAACTTTGATTCAAAATTTAAAGCAAATCAAATTTAATTAAAATTGCTATTTGTAAACATTTACAGCATTATTTAGGGAAAAAAAAAAATGGCACAATTGTTTACGAAAATATTTAGAAATTTTATTAGGGCTTAAAAAAAAAAAAAAAAAAAAAAAAAATGAAAATTTTAAAAGTAGATATAAATATATGCAACAATATAGAAAGAGGAGAAAGAGCAAAGATAAAAAAAAAATACTGAGTAAAGTGGTGGATAAAAAATTAAAAAAAATAATAAATAAATGGCTAACTTGATCTTCAGAGCAAATCAAGGACAAAAACAAATATGCACACAATGATTAAAAAAGGAGAGACAAAAAATGACTACCAGGGAATCGGCAGTATAAAATAGATTACATTTAAACACAGCAGACATTCATTTTGCTTACAAAGGGAAGGCTGCTTAGGCTCAATATAATTGGCCTCCAGAATTCTCAGATGGTAATCTAATTGCTTTATGTTAAGAAACTCCAGAACACTTAATAAATAATCTCATTTTACCTCATATTCAACTAATATATATATATATATATATATATATATATATATATATATATATATATATATATATATATATATATATATATATATATATATAATTGGAAAAAAAAGTTTTTATGACGCATTTCATCTGTTTCAGACGAAATGCGTCAAAAACTTTTCCCAATTTGTTATTCTATTCTCTAAATAATGTTTGTTGATACACAAAATTATAGAAATTATATATACATACACACCCAAGTACAGGGTTGGCACAGATGAAATAAAATTCCAATAACCAAAAACACTATTCTTAAAATAGTGCTCAATAAAGAGTAAAGGAAATAATATTTATTCAAAATTATAACATATGCATGTTATAACATCACTACAAAAACAATCGTTGTTTCAACACTTCTGGAATCTTATCAAGTGATGGTGTTGATTGAAAAAAATAAAGAGCTTTAAGAGTTCAAAACCAACCAAACCCTCTCAATAGGGGGAAACAATTGTTACATTACTTATGATGACCAATCAGAATACAAGTATATGGTAATTCAAAATAATGTGACAATATATCCTAAGTACAATCTATTAGTGCATTAAAGTTAATATTAGATTAAATTAGAAAACAATATAACTAATTAAGTTTTAATTTTACAGTAAAATTCAAAATTACAAATGTCAAATTCTAAATTTAACCAAGCATCAAGTTTAAAATTACAAAATTATTCAGAAATGAAACTAGAAGAAAAATATATATTTTTTATTGTTCATAGTAAAGTGCAAATTTCTCAGTTAAGTTCAACACTGATGTAAGAAGTACCTACAATTGCTACACATATCTGATACACGGAAGTCTGAATTCAAATAAGGAGGTAGGTAGGGAAGGAGATTTTTCAAATGACGACAAACACATTCACATCCTAATACACAAACATGTATATATAATCAAATATATAAGCATGCAAATATAAGGATGGAGATCCACACAGGAAATCGAAGGAAAAATTCAAAAAAGGAAAATGAAAGGAAGAAGAATGAAAGTAGACAAAAAAAAAAAAAATCACACAAAAGAAAATTAATGCTTGAGAAATTTCATAGAAAATATGCGTTTCCCCAAACAATCATTTCAGGCTGAAAAATGTAATTAATAGTTCAAGGATACATGTGGATAAAGGCGTTAGTTAGATCCAGTGACAGGACGCAAAGAGTGGGAGTTCAATACCCGGTTAAGGCAGTGGAGAACTTTCAGCAGGAAATTAACAGGAGATAACTGATAACTGACATCCATTAAACATGGCACTAGAACAGTCTACCCCAGTGAGCAAAATAAAGGGTTAAGTTTGACATTCCAACCATGTGAAGAAGGCCGGAGTGTACAACAGCCAAAACATTGTAATAAATATGGTGACAAAGATGAGGACAATAGTTCAAATAATGTAAATAAATTGTATCTATTAAAATGATGTATAAACAGAAAATATATTAAATAATTGTCAGACTTAAATCCATTTCATTATATATTGTCAATGTTTACATTAAGCTACGTTTCATCAGCAGATATGATCATTCTGGAAAGGTCATTGAAGATTTGTTGTTTATAAACAGTAATTTGGACTAACCAGAAACTTCTCTGTAGCTGAGTAGTATAGCACATCAGATCAATTGACAGTTCCAGATATGACACAGCTTAGATTACTGTCAGAGAACAGATATTTTTATGAAATTTCTCAAACATTCAGACCAGTAAATGTAATCAATACTGTTTATTTAAAAAATATAACATTTACTTAAATAAATTGTATCTATTAAAATAATGTATAAACACAAAATATATTAAATAATTGCCAGGCTTAATCCATTATATATATATATATATATATATATATATATATATATATATATATTAAACACTTACATGACAATAACAAATCCTATCCTAACACTGTATTATAGTATTCACATTTAAGTTAATCTTTAAAAAAAAAAAAAAAAATTTTAAGTTTTATCATGGGGTGCTGAAAAGTTCTCAGCCTGACCAAAACAACCTACCAAAATGAATTTTGATGTCCAGTTAGATTTAGGAATTGATCGATTTGATTTTTTTATGGCTTATCAACCCTTTGTCACGTAAGTCTCTTGCATTCAATCCACCCCATAAATATCAGCTCTCAATGTTTAATCTGCCCCATGTTTTTGATTGATTTATTCATTCATTTTTATACGACTTATCAACCCTTTGCAAGTTATTTAAAGCCAGAAAATATTTCTAAATTCTAAGATTTTTTTTTTTTTTTTTTTTGAGATAATGATTTAGTGATTTACTCTTACTAATTAACCTATAGCTGGTATGGTAGGGGAAAAGAGGTGGATTCACACCTTTTCCAGGGGTATTTGCACATAAGTAAATATAACAAACCCAACTGGAATTGGAACTCAGCTCTCAGAGTATGTATCCATTACACCAAATGCACATCCAAGCTTACAGCAGCTAGTATTCCAAAGCAGTCACCCATCTAGGTACTGACTAGGCACAACATTGCTTAACGTTGGTGATCATATGGGAACTGGTATTTTAATGTGTTATGGCTATAAGCCCACTCCATGTAAACTGCCACAATATTTGACATCACAACACATAATGCAGGAAGTTACACTGTGATAATTTGAGAGCTGATATATGAATCCATCTTTTCTCCTCCTCAGCTATAGGTTAATTAGCAAAACTCACACCAAACAAAAAAATAAATTCTTACACTCTAAAAACATTTTCTAGCTTTATATAAGCTGCAATGGGTTGATAAACCATAAAAAAACAAATCAATCAAAACATGGGGCGGATTAAGTATAAACTGAGAGCTGATATTTACGGGGAGGGCTGAATGCTAGAGACTTAACTATACATTTAAAAAAAATTGGGTTTGGTGTGTTTTGGCGTAGCCCATTTGGTGTCGTTGATTCGGCGTCAGAAAAATAATTAGACTATTCGGCAGTTAAGGCATTTGACCAAAAGCACCCCCCCAAAGGATAAAAGCATTGAAAACACACAACTCTCAATATGACTTTATTTATTTAGAGAATTAAGGATCCTATTAAAACACTAATGGAATAACTTAAATTAAAAATATTGTATTTCAAAAAATATTAAAAAACTTAATAAAGCTATTTAATCTTACAAATTACTTCATTTCTTAATTATGAGCAAACCCTTCAAGAATTCAACAGGATCTAATGATTCAACTTCCATTATGACTTTTTTTGATTTGTTTTTGAATACTATAATACAGGTTTGATCATGTTGAATGCTAAAAGTATTCAAGCCAAAATATATTTTGGATTACAAGAAATTTTTTCAACTGAAGATTGTATTAACAATATTTTGAAAGTAAGGATTTTTTTTTTCCAGATACAAATCCTATTTAATCCATAGATGGGGGTGAGAGGGATTCCTACCTTACCCAAAGGTATTTGCACATTATTAAACCAAAACTGACTGAAATTAGAACTTGGTTCTCAGATTTCCGCAAAGCCACTATTCATTACACCACCCACACATCCTTAGATATGTGGGTGGTGGATTGGGTTGGGAATATTCTGACACTCCCTAATGTAGAATCACATTCATTCATCTGTTCTTGAATGATAAAAACACTCAACATTGCAACAGTAATAAAATAGAGTAGCAAGTAATTGAATTAGTCAACTAAAGTTAAAAAACGAACACGATAAGAGAGTAAAAAAAAAAAACAAAACAGAAAAACTTATATGATGACCAGAATGAAAAAAAAGTGAAAGTGCACTGACCTATTTTTTTCCAATTTGTTATGGACTTCTCGCGTACCAGCACTGAAAAACAGAAATCAAGTTAAAGTAACATTGTCCAAGTTTAATAGTGAAAATTCTAACAGGATTCACAGGACTAAACATTCAGTCAGTTATGTGCCATGCGTGATACACACTTAGGCAATCATGTATCTTTTTACACATGACTGACGAGGCAGTTTTTTTCCCCCGCAGTAGGTTGCCATTTCTTTCTGCAGTCTTACTATTTACCCATAGCTGTGGGGAGAAGAAGATTCATACCTTTCCCAAGAGTATTAGCATGTAAGTAAATGTAATGGATTCAACTGGAATTCGAACTCGGCTCCGATTCCCCAACCTGAGCTGCTATCCATTATTCCACCATGCTTCCTGGACTAAACATTAACGATGCTGAAACTGAAATTGGCAAGCCAAGTTCAAATTCTATCTGTATTGAGATTATACTAATCCCTTTGAGAAAGGAATGAATCTTTAATCCTCTCCACTTAAGGGTAAATAGAATAAACTGAGTTCTCTAGCCTTGGTTGGCAGCTAATCTAAGAGAAGCCCAACTTCAAAATTGTGAAGCTAATGGAAAACCACTCCATCATTCCAAAGAGCAATCAAGGCAATGCACAGTTGCAGAGAACCCGGATTATCTCAATCAGGGCTCTGAAACTCAAGGACACAAAAGTGCCATTATGTTGGGGAGCGGGGAACATGCCAGAAGCAGGTATGTCATTAGTATATTATCAATGGGGAGGGTAACAACCCCAGCATATGTGGGAGCAGGGAGGTGTTTTATTGCCAAAGGGGGCCCCAGTAGCAGATTAGTTCGCATCACATTCATTGATGGGGAGGGCTCAACCAACACTAACCAAAACATTGTCACAAAGTACATTTGTACCCTCTTGTTAGGTATATGACAAAGAATACATAGTGGTGGGGAATTTGAGTTTTCTTCCCATCTTTGGAGAGAAACTAGAAGAGACCCGGCACAACTTAAAATTTATTAAACTTATTAAAATTTGAGGAAAATATTGGTCAGGAAGATAGTCTGTGGTTCCTGAGCCATGAATTTGAGATCCCTGATCAATACCTTGAAGCACTTAGAAGGAAAAAAAAATTTAAATAATTTTCACCTAATACAAGGCCCAAGAGCCACTCAAGGTAGAGGAGCATAAGAAAAGGCAAGAAATGTTGTTCATGGCGCTATGTAAGAAAGATAACAGCCCTAGACATGAAGAGGTCAAAATTGAAATGAATGGGAATTAGGAGTGTTCAACAAAGCAGACTTTGTTTTGGGAAGAAGCTTAGCACTTTATATGTAGATATTTAGGATAATAAAAAGAGACTTCAGAAAAGAAATAATTGTCATATTAACACATACAAATGCAAATTTTGCAGAGAAAAAAATTATAAAAAATGTCTACATTTGTAGGAATGTTTAAAATTGAAAAATTCACTGAATTTAGAAAATGAAAGTGTCAAGAATAAAAAAAAAATGTTGGTTTTTGTTTCAAGGAAAACAGAGACAAAGAAATTTGTTTGAAGACAATTTAAATGAGGACAGAACAAACAATTCTTAAACTGAGCAATATCAAATAACCTTGCTAAGAAAACATAGCAAATAGAAGAGGGAAACAAGTGGAAGAGAAACAGCGAGAGAGCGCGAGCGCAAGTGTGAGAGAGGGAGAGAACAAGAGGAAGAATTAAGTGAGAGAGGGAGAGAACAAGAGGAAGAATTAAGTGAGAGAGGGAGAGAACAAGAGGAAGAATTAAGTGAGAGAGGGAGAGAACAAGAGGAAGAATTAAGTGAGAGAGGGAGATAACAAGAGGAAGAATTAAGTGAGAGAGGGAGAGAACAAGAGGAAGAATTAAGTGAGAGAGGGAGAGAACAAGAGGAAGAATTAAGTGAGAGAGGGAGAGAACAAGAGGAAGAATTAAGTGAGAGTCCAGAGTAGAAGGAAGGAGAAAAAAAAAAGAAAAAGAAAAAAAAGAAAAAGAAAAAAAAAGAAGATACTAACCCACCAGCCCGTCTCTTGTCAGTTTTGTCAGCATTTTTTGATTTTATATGGTTATTGCTGTTGCTGCTGTTACTGCTGCTGCTGCTGTTATGTGGAGACTGAAGCGTCATTATGGGAGTAAGAAAAGAAGGTGAGGAAGAGGTAGAAGTTGCTGGCTGTTCTGGAAGTGGTTGGAGAGTGGACAGAGCTGGAGGAGGAGGTGATGGTGGCAGAGGGGGTGGGGGTGGCGGAAGTGGAGGCAGCGATGGTGTGGATGCAGAATTCAAAGAGGTTTTCACTTGTTTCTCGTATATGGAGAAGTCTGCAGAGATGTCATTCCCTGTAACGATATCATTTTAATACAGAATCAGGGTCGAGATTAGTTCAACAAGTTTCAAAGGAAGTCGCATTTACAATCAAAGACGCTGTTGGCTTTAATGGCAAAAAAACAAGTACAGACAAACCCCTCATCTACAGACCCCCCACCACCACCGGACTTTGGATGCAACAGACAAAATAAAAAAAAGTTATGCAGAAAAAAAAAAACAACAACAAAAAAAAAAAAACTTTCAAATCATCAGTGATGTATTTCAAAATTTGCAAGCTTAGCAGAACAAATTGTATTAGTTCTCAAAGTGACCACTTGGTGGCAGTGGCCAGCCTTTCAATTTTAAACAAAGACAGGTGTACAGTATACAAAGTATGATATATTAGCATGTGCATGAGAAATCTATTATTTTTGTTATTTTGATTAATATATCTATATAAAGCATATATTTATTTATGCCATATCTACATGTCTATAGTATTTACATTATGATCATAACTACTGGTAGTTACTATAGTGGTTAGATAACTCAAAAATAATCCCTTCCCATCTATGGACAATCAGTTTTAATGGACTACCCTTCCCCCCCCTATTAGCCCATTGATGAGAGGTTTGTCTGCATATAATAAAGTCTTTATACATACATTTTGAAAAGAATGAAAACTACAATATAATAAAACATGAAAAAAAAAAAAAAACAACAACTTTGCTAAAACATGAATTAAGTAGTAAAGATATTGACGTTACCAGGAAATGGTAAAATTGTAATATTTGCTATTTCCTTATAAGGAGGCATTTCACATTCAGTGACTGAGCAGCCAGTTTTACTCGAGTTATGCTTTTCTTCCCTCCCTGGCCATCAAGCCGAGATCAAAATGTAGTATCTGTTCTCATCTCTAATGGTAATATTAGCCATTTCTTTATAAGGAAACACTGGCCATTCATTGACCATGCAATATTTTGGTTGAAGTTTATAAAATCTTTCTTTTAAAACAATTTTCAGAAAAATAAGCCCAATAATTGTTATTGCTCTTTCCATTATTGATGGAGGTTTCCTTCCTAACCTTTTGTTTGAAGTAGTGTGGAATGTCAACATTATGATTATATCATCATTTTATTTTTGTGCTACATGTGATATCCATTGCTGCTGTTGTTCAAGGTTCTCAAGCAATATGGCTTCTCTTATTTCGTACAGTTCTTTGTGATTCTGTTGGGCAAGTCCACAAGATTCAAAGAAGGATGGTCCTCACTAAGACCTACAATATTCATTCACTCAAAGCCCCCCCCCCATTGAACTAAGAAATTGTACACAAATGACAGTTTAGATATTTATTTATACTAGTTTGGCACCAAACATGACCTCCATATGAATGTGTCAGTCTGACAAGGCTATTTAAGAATGTGACTCAAGTTTTTAGGCTAACGTTTTGGTTTTATAGCAATTTGTGAATTTTGTAGGGAAAGCTGGATTATAAAGTTAGAAAAGTAAGTTGAAAAGTACTTGACCCAATCAAGAAACCAAAAAACATGATTTGGTCAGATTTTTTTAAAGCAAGTCAGTTAACAACATTTTAGTATCTGCTTGTACATTTTAAATATTTCTATTGAGCTTTTTAGGATTTCCGACCCACCTCCTTCTACACAACAACATAAAATAGTCATTTCCATATCATTGCTGTTGTTATCACATGTTGACCATTGCGCTCTGGTGCTTGTTGATCCTGGTAACCTTCAGGGAACTTTTAATCTACAGGGACAGTTTGTTCTCATTCCAGCATGTCCAGGGGTATATCATCTAATTCCTATTTAGTATTTATTGCTTGCCACATTTACACTGAGTCCAAATACACATTATCAGGCCCAGGGATTGAACACACAATTATATCACCAAATTCAAAAATTAACACTTTAATGCACTATGTTATTGTCTCATGGTTACATAGTAATTGCGAGTTCAATCCCTGAGCCAGGACTCAGTGGAAATCGGATGAGCAATAACTGGGCAATACTAAAAATAAAAACTATAAAATATCTCTGGAAATGGTCAGTGGAATGAGAACAATCTATATCTGCAGATTAAATAAAGGCTTTATTTCAAAATTTCCCGAACTTTACCCAGATCAAAAGGCACCTGATGAAGCCACAACAAATGAAATGTGATAATGACAACAAGGACGAGGACAACGGTCTGCATGTAAATAACGACTCCTCACCCCAAATTTTCAGAAAATAGAGTAAGATTACAATTTCTTGGCAAATTAAAGCCAAATCAGTTTCAAAATTATTTCATGATAGAACTCTATTTATTTTTAAGTTTTAATTTTTTTTTTTATCAAACCATTCTGCAAAATGTAAATATCTCAGCTCTTGCCAGATCAAGATTATGAGGGGACGTATTAATTGACTCCTTTTTTATTAGAAAAAAAAGTTCAACACCTGATGAAACAAATAAGCAATAATTAAGATAGAATCACTTACACTTGTGTTTTACACTTTTTTTACTTATGAAAATATAAAATATTTGGAAAATAATTTAATTACATGCAGTATTATTAACAGTTAATTTTTGACTAGTATTTACTTTCATCTTCATTTTTTATTAGATGAAGCAATATCAGCCATTATTATTAATTTTTCACTAGTATTTACTTTCTTCATTTTTTTTTTATTAGATGAAGCAATGTCAGCCATTATTATTAAATTTTGTCTAGTATTTACTTCCATTGTTTTATTTTGTTGTTGTTTATTACAACTTTACTCAAACTGTCAATCTACAGCAATAAGTCGACAGTACTGGAATGAAAATATGTAAACAAATGCAATACTTTTTTTTGTTTCTCTATTTTAGTTTCTTCCTTCCTGATTAAATGTCCATTAAGAGAAAAAAAAATCCTTTTACTTGTATGGTAAACTATATTAAAATCATTTACAGAGGTTTTACAAATCATATTTATTGTTGACCTAGTTGAACTTTAAAAGAATATTGTTAGTACTTGAATTAATTTAAAACTGACTTTTAATGAAAATTATCTTAAAAATAAATAAATAAATAAATAAATAAAAAATAAAATAAAGGAGTTCAATATATATCATTTCTCAGTCACTTATAATGTTCCCTATTTCCTATAATAAGAACAGTAAGCTCCTTACTTGGATCCTCACTAGATGTCCCAGGTTAGTAAGAAGACAAAGCTAATGAGTAAATAGAAAAGTTTTTTTTATTTGTAAAACTGATGAAATATAAAATATCTACATTTTTATCAACACTAAGAGACTCTTGGACCAGAGACAAATACAAAGAAAATGATATTAAATTCAATGAAGACTTTAATGTTGAATTTTTTTGGTTTTTTCTTAATTTAAAAAAATATAATACCCAACATGAGGGAAATTTTTGGTACCAACATGGTCCCCAAAGGAATTGTTGTCAGAAATAACTTCCATTCTTTCTTTTTTTTTTTTTTTAATTCATCCAAAGCAAGACAATAACACCATCATTACAGAACAGGCTACTAAGAGTGAAAGAGAATGAAAAAGACTTTAGAAAAAAAAAAAAAAAAAAAAAAACAACACACAGAAAATAAGGGATAAACCTTTACTTCTGTTCAAAAGACCGAGGAGTGTGAAGCAGACTGTAGACAAACCTATCTAACCCTATAGTTAATTTTAAAATAATAATAAAAAAAAAAGCATAACTTAAAACTGCTAAACAAATCCAAGCAGTTTGGCAAAATAATCTTATCCTTCATGTCCACATCAGACTTAGTGTTCGCCGATATCAGTTTTATCACGTTCTACATTGGGGAATTTCACAGCAAACAAACACACACAATATTTACAAATAATGATAAATAAAACTTGTTTTTTACAGTGCACATTATCAGAGATAGAGTCTGTACAAAGTCAGATGTAGACATTAAAAAAAAAAAAGAAAAAAGTCATTTTTAATACCTCCAAAACCAAGCTAGTATCATTTCATTTCATGAATACTGATCATACCCCAAGTTTTCTCCAGTCACAATGAATGTTTCCACTATGACGTGCCATGTTGTGAACTGGTTTTTAAGTTCACTCCAGACTAAGTGGAACTCATATACTGAATGTAACAGCAAAATTGCCCAATTGTTAGATTAAGCTTTGTATCTTAGAAATGATTAATGATATCTTACTGGAATTCTCAGAGGTTTTTATAACACTATTGGGCGATAAAATGTATAATTATTCTCCAAGCTTAACCGAAGAATTGTGATGAAATCGATCATAAACAAAAATGATATGTTCATCATTAATTAATCATAACTAAGGATTGTAAGCTCATGAAGGATTTATATATTATTCAAGATGATCTTCGACCTCTCTTTCTTTCTGTCCTAGAGTAACAAAGTGCCACAAAGGTTTAATATACAATCTAATTTTCAAGTTTTTTTCACTTCTCTTTAGACTGTCATAGATGAAATTCCTTTTTCATGTGCCAAACATCTTACAGATCAAGTTGGATCTTTTCTAATTGATCTCTTTAGCTGTAAGTTAAAATGATGATCCCTCTTCCTGTTGTGACCTCTTGATCTAGTTTTCTTCTCTACTTTTCCCTCTTGATGGTTCTTGAATGGACTTTAAAGATGGAAGCCAGAGTATGAATGTTGGTACCATTATTGAAGACCTGAATGATCTTTTTCCTCTCACCATTGCTCATTTAGGAAGACAGTGGGGCTGACACCAAAAAGATTTAAACCTGTTCTCTTTCAAGCTGAATAACTCAAAGGGTTTTTTTTTTAGTGATTCTTATGGGAAATGGTGTCAAGATGGCTAAACGCCTTATCTGAAAAAAAAGAAACTCAGTTTAGAGTATTTTTAGATATTAAACATTTTGTGGGATGGGCAATTTTGCTGTCACACCTGGTATATAGAATCCTTTGCTAATGATGCTGGAAAATGGCCAACTCATTCCATCACTCCAGGAACTATCAGATGCTCTCTGCCAGGCTTTATCTTTACAAGAGTCATATTAAACCAAAAATTAAATATTACTCCAACATTTCAGTCTTCACTTTCCAACCTAGATAAAGTTCAAGGTCATTTATGATTTAGTGCGGAATAACCATTCTACTACCTTTTTCTCCAAAGACGCCAAGTTTAAAGCCTGTTGATACTCTGTCACTATTGCCATGGCAAATGTTCAGACGAACTCCATCATTTTAGTCCCACAAGTTCAGACCTTTACTTCTATATAATACCATGTTATGTCGGCAAACTCACATCCCTCATTTCTGTCATGTTCCAGATATAAGAAAGAAGTTTCATTCAGATAACTTCTCCCTCCAAGATCTGACACTTTAAGGGAACAGACTCCCACGTAGGTGCTTCCTTTATCACTTCAATCTTAAGCTCAATCTCCATACCGACTTTCATTTATACCACACACCATTTTGACTGTAACTCTCTACCTTGAGCGGCTTCTAAGCCTTGTATTGGGTGATATTTAGTATTATTAACCATTTCTCTAGTGTAATCTCATTTGGATGAATTTTTTTTTATTATATACCCAAGAAATAATGAAGGTACTATTCGCCCTCTCACAATGACGGGATTATGAAGAGTAAGACCATAATTTTAACGTGACCACCTTCCCGACTACCCACACAGAGTGGCTTTCGCTGGCTCAAAGTTAAAAATTGCTCACGCCCCCTCGGCACTGAAAAGCTCAGACATCAGTCTGCACCCATTTTGAAGTGATGCAGAAGTGATTCCTATGGAATGGAGACAGGCTCATGGAACTCCAATCCCAAATGACCAAGCTGGGCCAGTTCCGAATAAAAGTCGTGGATGGCGACATTTCATTTCTTTTTTTTAATCATTGTCAAAGGTTTTTTGGTTTATGCCAAACAGCAACAAATTAAAGTGCATTCCATAAAAGACTAAATTTATGGAAAAAAAATAAGTATATTAAAAAAAAAAAATAATAATAATAATAATAAAGCGTGTATCTTTCCCACTCACGAGTGAAAGATTTTAAAAACACGAGGGCATCAAAAGATAAGAGACCGCCACACCCACTGACCTATCATAAATAACACGTCAAACAGAAGAGAAAAAAAATGCAGCAGCTTGAAATTCCGGGTTGAATTGCTTCGTGGCTAAGAATTTCAAATCTATGCTAGAGTTCGGTGATCGATTCGAAAATAAGACAAGCTGGATTTCGAACGAATGCTGATTTAAAAGGCAAATGTAAATAATAATATACATGGCCGAAAAACCTGTTGAAAATGTGTTTAAATTGAAAACAAACAAAACTTGTTAGTCGTGTTATAATCTGTTTTTATTTTGTATTATTTTTATTAAAAAAGCATTAACAATCATTTTTAATTTTACTGAAATCTCCATTTTTTGTTAGATAACGCATCATTTGAGTTTGACAAGTAGTTTCCTTAAAAACTCAATCAAGAAACTAAAATGAAAGTAAAAAAAATACTAGTCAAAAACAAATTGCTAAAAACATTTTGTTGGTAACTGACAAACACCGCAATTTAACAGATCTACACTAAATTTTCTTTATATTTTTAAACTTTAAATTACATATTTACGTTACAGACTCTTACGAACTAAGTGACAATGCCATTAATAAAAATAACATTTTTCTGTCTATTTTTACAATAAAATTGAATGCTTCTTTCATTTAAATGATTTAATAATTTACATTATGTAAAATAATTTTAGACTTTTATTTTTGTTTTTATAATTTTTTGAATTGGAGAAAAGAACCTCTAATTTGCTTTAGATAACTTTTTTTTTCCTTTCGAGGAGTTAAACATTTATTTACACGTCGACATACACTGGGGTTTTAAGCGATGTACATTTCGTGTCAAAACTTAGGAAATATACATTATGATCTTCAGGTACGTTGCTCAAAATAGCCAATGAATGAATATGGAATAGACAAAATGGCGAATTACAACCACGTGGAGGAGAAAGACAGGACGTTACTTTTTTTCCTTTTTTCTCTCTCTCTTTTCCATTCTAAAGACAAGACACGTGACGTTTAGTGTAAAAACTTCAAATATCGAACCTAACCTTTTAAATCATCAATCTTACAAACAGTTTGTAATCGCTCATGTAGCTTTGTGCTAACATCTATCTAAAAATAGATTTAAAAAAATGATAAATTTAAAAACAATATAGACTAAAAATTTTCTATTTTTTTTGTTCTAAGGTTGGCATACCATACGTCCCCGTGAAGCTACCATCACTATTCGTTCGTGTGCGTGTGTCAACTATGGATCTTTAAGGATATTGGGTCATAAAACCTAAACCAATAATGAAAACGAAAAGATGTCCCGGTTTGAAACTTGGAAGTTAGGGTAACCCTAAACTAAAATTGATTCTAAGAGTTAGGGGAGGGGAGTTATTTACGGAATTTACCAAATGCTGGTTTCTGTCCCCTGGCACGGATGAAGCATTTGATAGTTAAATATTTCAGGTGTAAATAAAAACGTACTATCATAAAACCAATATAATGACAAATGGAAATTATTATACAAAATTTGTTATTAATATAATTTTAAAGGAATTATATAGTCATTTTCAAAGACATGTTGAATTTATTTCGAATAAAAAGAAGAAAAAAACTTTAAGGGGAGATAACTGTTGTCTGCTATTTTGAATAAACAGATCCACGTGTTCTTACCGGAAATTAGCATTTTAAGAGAAGTCATCTTTAAAGTCTCTTACACAGACACACACTTTTATAAATATATATATATATATATATATATATATATATATATATGTGTGTGTGTGTGTGTGCACTGCTACTAAAAGTGGAACAGTCTACCTACAAACATAATATTTCTTGCAAGCATGATCCCATGATTTTTTTTTTTAAATAAATGACACGCATACAAAACAATCACACATGGTAAGTTTAAAAATTCGGAATATTTTAGGAACAAAAAAATTGAAAAAGAGCAAAATTACATTATCCATTTCATGCATAAACACGGTTTTTTTCTATTTAGAGAAAGAAATGCAGATTGGTAGGAATTGACATAAAAAATAGACATTCATTCTTAGCTTCCACGCCCCATAACTTTTTCTTTAACGAACCGCAGCAGCACAAAGGCTCATATAATCAGTTTTCTATTATTAGTCACACTGTTTGCTAGTAAATAATCGATAAGATACTTTTTTAGTTTAATGTCTAGAAAAACAGTTTATTACACTAAAACCGAATTGACTTATTAGGCAAAGAAAGTCTTTCAAAACTAGGTTCGTGTTCAACACTCTCTAGTGTAAATTTTATCCCAAATTAAATACTTTGAAAAGTTTGAATGAAATTTCTTAAAATAAATTTGGTTTATTACTCACCACATGTTTTAGTCTTCGAACGCCACTCCAAAAAGTCGGCAGCAAGGATTAAAGTTTCGAGACTCATCTCATTAGATAGCGATGTTAGTCCTGAAACTTAAGTTACGATTTCCAGGACAAATAGGGAAATAAAATAAAATACAGCAATTTTTTTTTTTTTGACGTCTGAAAAAAAAAAAAAAAAACAAAAAAAAAAAAAAAACCAAAGCCAGTCCGCTCGCAATTTCAAAACTTTTAAATTGAATTTAATTTCATGGATATGTGGACATTTTCCACCTCATAATGAAAACATTTTTTTTACTAATTCCTGAATAAAATATTAATTAAGGCATCCAATTCCAGGTTTGTAAAATCCCAAGTTTGCAACACAGAGAAAGATATGCACTGAATAATGTGAGAAAGCATATTTAAGAAATCTGGAATATTACCATCAAAATCATGATCCGAATATCTCACCTTTTTTTTTTCTGGTAGTAAAAAAAAAAAAAAAAAAGAGGTGGTGAGTAGAGCTATTTATAGACAACAAATCTATAAGTTGTTAACCAAGGCTTTAAACGGGAATAATGGGAGAAGGGTGCACTTTAAAAAATGATTAAAGGGAAAAATAACCGTTTGCTTTTTCTCTTATTTTTTTTTTTCGGGGGTTCCCTACCTAAGGAAATCCCACCCACCCATTTTTACATCATCTGGCTTTTTAAATCTCTCCCTTTTCTCAGTCACAAATGCAATCACGTAGACCAAAAATAACTGCTTTTACATGATTAAAAACAGATTGTCTAAAAGAGTTATTTTTTAAATTTATATTCATTTTTCTTTAATAATCTACAACAACAAAAAAATAAAGAGATTTTTTTATCGCTATTTTTTAACAGGACATTTTTAATACGAAATTCAAGAATGTGTTAAAATGAAGATCAATGCAATTATGTCTTTTTTTTTTTTTTTTTTAAACTGCAGAGCGTGTATGATATTCGAGGAATTAATTTCTTTCGGAATAATTTTAAAACGAATGTTTGTTGGAAAAAAAAAAAGACCACTATACATCTCTAAGCACAATGACTTTTTTTCAGGAATTACGTACAAATAGATCAGGTGATCGAACAGTATATATACTATCTCCAGCTGATACAAGGACTGCTGAATAAATTTTTGATCTTACGAGTCTATTAATGTAAATAAAATCCGCAACCAACTAGGACTATCCCATGCCGATGAGCGATCACTTCTATTTAGCAGGGCATCATGGCGGCAACACATCAAAACACGATCTTATGACGAACTAGCCACGTGGAGACATGATTGACAGCTGTTTCAGATTGACCAATGGTAGGCGGCAACTTACAACACTCAACCAATGAAATCTCAGTAGTCTGACGTCATCACTAATAATGTCACGCCCCTCGCACGTTGTTCAACTCACATGGAAAATGTATAATAAAAGTCGAAACAGCCCAAGTTTCAAAAAGAGGACATTATTGTCTGATTTTTTTTTTTTTTTTTTTTCAACGCTTTCTGCTAATTCGGCTTAATGAACAGTCTTCTTTTTAAATGCAAGCTTTGCTTTTTGATTACAGCTATTCTCTGGTCTGTTTACATTCTTGGACGGCTTACATAAATTTCGTTTCATTTTGTTTATTTGTTTTAGTTCTCTGTTTATTGCATGGCGTACGATCACTTTCAGCACGTGATAATTTCATGTCGAGTGTGGCTTCAACATCTACATCATCTATCACATGCTTGCTTGTGAGTTACTTGCAAACAAATATTTTATATGATTTTTTTTAATTATTGTTTAAACCAGGTGCCACGCGAATTAAACTGGAAATGAATTTATTGAAGCGATTTTTCGGTTTTAGTTACACAGCTGATTTTCGTAATAATAATCGATCAATGTATTGTAATTAAACGTGAAGACAAAATGTGTGACTATGAGTTCGTTTCTCTTGTTACACTTACTTTGCCTTGAAATTATAAGATATATATTTTTAAAATAGCTTAAAATGTTTCCAACTTTTATTTAAGAATGAATATTCTTGAGAATATATCTTTTGAAAGAAATTAAAAATGTATAGCATATGATATGTCATAGTAAAAAAAAACCATGGCTGCTTGGGACGTAATTAATTACACGATGGATACACTCATTTTCGAGGAATTTATTTTAATTTACTTATTTTTGTGGCTAATAACCTATTTTAAATGAATATATTTGTATGCCAATAAAAATAAAAAAATAAATAAGAACTTTTTGGGTTCGTGGAACACTTCAGTCATCATGTGCCAAATTTGTTTGAATTTTTTTTTTTTTTTTAGGTAATAAATCCCAATAATTTCTGCATTTATCTAAAAATGATAATCTTTTTTTTAATTCGTTTTTGTCATATTTATTTGATTTCTAAAAATATCACCGATGATCAAGAAAGAAAAAAAAGTTAAAAAGCCCTGCAATTTGTTTTTATTTCCGGCATACATGCCAACAATTTTTAGGGTGAGGTTGTCGCTTTGAAGTTAGTGTGAACAGATTTTCTCTAACATTTTTTTTTTTTTTTTTTTTTTTTTTAAATCTTAGAATTTTACAGTATTTTTCTGGATTGACAATTAAAAAAAATAGTTTAAAAAAAAGAAAGCTGGGTAAAAATAGACATGGGTTATAATTTGTCTTTTGTCGGAGTAGTAAACAACACCAGTAGTTGCGTTTTTATTGAAATGTAGGGCATTTGTACAACAAATGACTTCTCAGTTCACCACAGCAATCCTTTCATTTTGCTGTGGCAGACCTTAGAAACCTGGAAATTTACAATGATCAGTTTCTAATTTGTCCATGGTTCACTTCTTTTTCTGATTTCCAGGTGTTGATACTCGTCCCTTAACATCTCGAAAGTATTAAGCAAAATTTGAAAGAATTTACAGACCCATGATATGCAATAAACAAAAAATACCTTTCACTGACGTTTTTAAATGTTTGGACTACATCGGAAAAATCATAATGACATGTTAAATGTACATATTCTAATCTCCTTAAAACAGCATAATAGTAAAACTTCAACTTAACTTTGTGATTTCTGCTAGTTTTAAATGATTTGTTGACTCGTGTTCAATTCTTATTACACAGATATACAGAAAGAAATACGACAAACTAAAATTCAGAGAAGACAAATTTCTCGGCGTATTTTTTTCCAAGAATCCGTAGGAGCTGGAAATGCTGAAAACTACGTCCGTGTGTTCTTCAGATAAATGAGCAAACTTACTTATCGCTTACGCCCGACGTAATGACGCCACGTTGACAAAAATTCAGTTTTCGCATTTTTAGTTTGCGTGCCATTCTACGTGTCGAGTGTACTTTAATTGTCAGAACTTACTCTCTCTCTTTCTCTCTGTTAGATCAGCCAATCTCGCTACCTTGGTTTCAACCTATCTTCAGGCGATTCGGACAGCATGATCGTCTTATTTCCTATTTTTTTAAAATTTAAAAGCTCTCCATGTTAAATTGTTATTTTATTTTCCTTATACGTGTATTGGGCAATTTTTAATTATGATTTTTCCGATGTAGTCCAAACATTTAAAAACGTCAGTGAAAGGTATTTTTTGTTTATTGCATATCATGGGTCTGTAAATTCTTTCAAATTTTGCTTAATACTTTTGAGATGTTAAGGGACGAGTATCAACACCTGGAAATCAGAAAAAGAAGTGAACCATGGACAAATTAGAAACTGATCATTGTAAATTTCCAGATTTCTAAGGTCTGCCACAGCAAAATGAAAGGATTGCTGTGGTGAACTGAGAAGTCATTTGTTGTACAAATGCCCTACATTTCAATAAACGCAACTACTGGTGTTGTTTACTACTCCAACAAAAGACAAATTATAACCCATGTCTATTTTTACCCAGCTTCTTTTTTTTTTTTTAAACTATTTTTTTTTAATTGTCAATCTAGAAAAATACTGTAAAATTCTAAGATTTAAAAAAAAAAAAAAATGTTAGAGAAAATAAATTTGTGTCTTTTTATGCAATACTAGCACCCACCTAACTACGAAATATATTGAATATGTAACTATAGCATTGTTAGAAAATGTTGTTGTTGTGTTTTTTGTTTTGTTTTTTTAGAGGCTGGATCGAATTATGAATTTCTGTAACAAACAGAGCGGACCCATAAATTCGTGAAGTTCCCAACAGAAATAAATGACTTTATTACTGGCTACTATAAATTGTGACTTTTTGTCCCGTGAGTTTATTACCGTCTACGGTTGTTTGTAACCATCATCAAGAGATTTTTTAAAGAAACATTTTCATGCCTTTTCTCTCTCTCTCCCTCTCTCTCTCTCTCTCATTTAGCGTTTTTACCTCTAAAAAGTAAAAACGGTATTGCATCCATGAGTTAAAACTTCATACTCTTGTTCTTATACACTACAAATCTGTACCCAAACATTTTGATATTTAAATAACTTTTTACTTTGACTTTGGTCAGCCTATGAACTTTTCAGCCGACCCTCTTATTCCAACATGTTTTTAGTTCATTTGTTTAAATCATTGAATCTAGTATGCTTATACGGTCCTCTTAATTTAAGTGTGCCATGAAATATTGTCATGACGTGTGTATGGAAGTAGTAATGGTTCAGTATTACTGTTAGTATTTGAATAAATTAATTATAAGTATTAAACTTTTTTTTCAGATAATTCTTTTCACTGTTCTTCAATTATGTTAATTTAAATACTTTATTTTAATATTCATTTTTAAAAAGTATTTGTATTTTTTAATTTAACTTTTTAAAATTTTCCTTAAATCTAAATGCATACCATTTAACAGTGTAATGATCATCATCACACACATGCATACATACTTACACAAATACAAATTATACAACAAGTATTCATTGGATAATAAATCAACACTACTTTGTAATAGACAATTTACAAGTCGCAGCTATGCGACAATTTTGTAATCGCTCTATTATCATGTAGTCGATTTTGTGCATTTTTAGGAGAAACAGATCCCAGAGGCTTTCTTAGGTCTCGCTAAAACTTGGTTGCTAATTGGTCAATAAACACACAAGTGGGTGTTGCAATCCA